ATTAAATACAAGATTAATAGTAGTTATAATTATTGGTAAAATGTGCTTGGAAAAAAATATAATCAGAATATCAACTTGCATAATAATTATGCATGCACTGTATTTGTCCTCTTCTGCTGTCGAGGTAATGCAAGAAATGTTGTGATTGGTTGTCAAGCCAGCCAATCAGAATTTAGCAGCCTCGGTCTCTGATTGGCTGGAATTATGGCACATTGTAACGCTGGGCTGTGTTGAGCACCCGAGCTGTTGGCATTTTGCGAGCACAGAGGGTGGAGCATCAGGTGAGCAAGCTAGTGAAACGTTGCACGCGCAAAAGAGCTGCACACATCCAAAAACGTATTTTAAATGTAAAATTGATTTCCGTGCGCTCGAAAGACTTTTTTCTTTGCGAAACAAACATTTTCTCCACAAACTCAGATCACGCGCGTGCAAAATGCACTTTTGTGCGCTCAAAATATGATCTTTCGCACGCAGAATTGTGGCAGAAATGTAAGCCCATACAAACATAACCTCAAAATAGGTCCCATGTTGGATTGTTGATGATTAATTCAAAAAATATGAAATAATTTATTTTATTTAAGAGCAAGCACCCTTTAAAAACAAGCTATCTGTATAGAGACCCCTAGTAATTTCAATAGTACTATTTTTGTACTTAGTAATGTCATTGCAGTGACCATATTGCAGTGAAATGTAAAGTATAACACAAAGACAGAACTCTTCAATGCAGGATGACATAAGATTTATTTGCAAACATGCTTTACAAACATTACGCGTTAAAACAAGTCTTAAAATAAAAGTCAACAATCATACTTAAAAAGGTAGCTTTGTGGCGGAATGTCACATATGCTTTTGGAATCTCTATTCAAATTTTTGAGCATTGAACTATAACGTATGTTTTGTGCAGTCATTTCATGTACAACTTTTCACTATGGAGGTGTTACATTTGCATTTTCTTCTTGGGCATGCAAGGATACTTTTCAAGCTGCTAAAATGCCCCCAAGGTAAAACTTGAATAACTTTAAATAAACTAGATGACCTTAATGAAAGCATGAAGTCGTATATAAACTAAACATGACTCATTTCAGGGAGGACCAAACAACAATTAAAATAATAACGGCTAAAATAGCAATCTGTAATACACTGGGTTTATGTGTCTTACTATTTTGTATTTAGATTTTGTATATTTATTAATTTCCCCAGTCACTGATCAGTATGGTATATAAAACATCTCATGATTCTCAATAACATCAGGACAAACACAAACCCTCATGGCCAAACTGGTCATTGTTGGTCAGAATATGCTTAAAGTATACGCATTAAAAATTATTCATTCTGCCTCTGAAAAAAAAAAAATCAATGAAGCACTTTGGTTCATATTCCACCCCCCTTTTCAAACAATCAGAAGAAGTTGCACACATAGCATGCATCTGAAAACATACAGTGACAATATTATCTCTCAGTGAATCAAACACAGTTATGGATCAGCTTTTGTCAAGCTGTACTCGTTCAACTCTCTGTGGTAATACACACTGATACACATGATGCTTGTGTGTTGCCATATTTGGAAGAACAAGGATCTATTCACGGTAGACATGTTGTAATAATAGCAGACAAGGATGATTTAATAACGTAATTATTTTTTTATGGCAGAACAGCATTTTCATCTTCTAGCACATGAACAAACACTCAACCACACCCACACACACTTACACTGGCTTGGCTAATTAGACATCTCCACATAAAGTCATATGTGCTGAGATAAATGTCTCGTTTAAATTCATGAGTAGGAAGCATTTAGAAGGCTATGTTACTGTTGAGCTGGAAAATGCCAAATTAATGAAGACAGATTTGTCTTAGACTCTGAACTGTTTGAAAGGGATAGTACACCCAAAACTGAAAATTCTGTCATAATTTACTCACTAATGTTGGTCCAAACCATGGAATGCAAAAGCAGAAAGCAATTATAGTGAATAGTGATTTGATGCACAAGCACTATAAAAGTATCATAAAATAGGCTTGTGTATTATTTCAACATGATGGTTCTGTGTATTCCTTCCATTTGGGTGGGCTGTTAACTATAACTGCAGCTGCATCATTAAATTGAGGTCATTTCTATGAACTTTTATGATTTATTGAAACTATCTCAAAATATTAAAAAAAAGTATAGTAGTCATACACAGGCACACAAGTTCTCATTTGCTTTCAGTATATTGAAAAGTGTGACCTGAATATATACAAATAGGTTTATTATACCATGGTTATGGATACATAGCCTCGTCAAAATTGTGAACTATGAACACACAACTTAACATGGCTAAACCAGCAAGAGAAAAAATCTCTTCTTTCACAATATTAGACTGTATAAAAAAAAATGTAAAAAAATAAAAAATAAAATAAAAAATAAAGCAAAATCTGACAATTGATCTGGTGTATCTGTTGCTTTATTTTTACTTATTTATTCATATTGACAGTTTCATTGTCTGTTTTTTCTATGATTGAAATGCAATAAGTTTGGAAAGACATTTTGGGTAAAACTATCCCTTTCATCCCTTGACAGGAACCATTTAGGCTAGAGATCAACTCTTAAACGCAATAAAAAAGCAAAAAAGTAAAAACATAACATCTACATTTATCCTTAAGTAAATGCACTACATGAGCACACATTGAAAACTATAGCAAAAAATCCCATAAACCTCTTTTGCTTGTGAAGTGCATTGCACATCTCATTATGCATGCCTCCTCCTTATCATCATTAAATGTCAAACCATAGGTGGGCTAAAATAGGTATGAAGTTCAGGGAACACAGATGGCATATTACAGTAATCGTAACAGATATGCTTATGTAAGTGCTCGGAGTGGAGAGAAACACTGCATCATATAGTGATTTATATCATCATTTGCTATGGCTTGATTTCTCTATTCCAATAACAGGAAATAACAAACAAAAAAAACTGAAGCACCAACATATTCTCTTTACAACTATCTTATGAATACATAAATAAATGCAATTATATTTTTTCCATTTAAAGGTGAAACACATCAAATGGATTTGACTATGTTACTTAGTATATACAGACACGTTATGCATTAATGTACAATTCTTTACATTGTTGAAGCATTCTTTCCTGTTTGGTTCGATTTTTCAAGTGCTCAGAAAGTAAAGCTCGTTCAACGTAACAGCTGCACATAACATTATTTAAGCTGCTGCTTAAGAAGTTGAAATCATTTGTGACACTGCCTTTGATGACGTCCTTACTGGGTTTATCATCTCCCTCTTTAAAAATCGACCCTACATGCGAAAAGCATGACAGTACATCTTTAAATACTGTCTCCAAATAAGCCCTAACTAACAGTCCTCCCAAAGTGTCCTATAGTTGCAAAGTGTTTAACAGTAGCAGCATGACAGCAAGGCACAGGACGAATGTGCTGTCCACCAAATCCATTTCTAAACTACTTTAAAGCTGCTTGGTCTCAGTCTATCTGATTGCCAGATTATATTCTTGTGCTTTCAGGAGGTTGGTGGTGCTTGTAGCAGGTGTAATTGGGAAATCTTGATGCAATAGGTTGTGCATGTGTCTATTTGATTCACAGTGTAATAGGGAGAATCTCATTCCCCTACAGAGTCTAGGAAAATGGAGTTTACAAAGGGTTCGGAGACCCAGCGGCATCCATTTTGGAAGTGTTGGATGATGACTCATCAACTTTGCGCACTATTTCCTCCTCACCGAGGCAGGAAACCTGAGTTTATCGCTGTGTATTACATCCTGTGTTTGACGTGTGTCTTTGAAGCGCTCAGATTTTTAGTTACGCCTGGGCTACAGTTGGATGCATGTTCTGCTGCAGCTTGTCTATAGGCCGGAAAATGGTGTTTGAGCACGTTATGGAAATCTATTACAAGTATTACTGCTCTTATGCTTTATATATTGAGACAGCAGTGCAAGAACGTGGCTATGGAAGCATGAGCCGTTTATAGTGCTATAATGCAGATCTGTGATGATGTGACTGTAAGCACGTCTCTGTTGCCTTTGGAGGAAGAGCAGTGAGGGTAAAAGTTGCAGAGCCTCTCAGTCCTGCAGCAGCGCTTCTCTCCAGTTAAAGCTGTGATTGGGCCCATGGGTGAGGGGCAGGATGGGTGGATCCACAAGCTGCCAAACGCCTGTCTCACCCATCTCCTCACAAGCACAAAAGCCTAAGTAAGGTATCTGTGAGAGAGACAGCAAAAAAAGGGAAGGAAAGAGAATATCTACAGTAGTTTGTATATATCAAT